TTTCACCTGTCCCCAGCAGTCCTCCCTAGTTCCATATATATATATATATATTTTCATGTCCATTATTTTAAAGGGAGATTCAGATGTAAGAGAAAATATGTTGTCTTGTTAATCTCATTTAACATGGTGATCTCTATTTCATCCTCTTTCCTGCAAGTGAATAAGACTTTACTGTTCTTATTGGTGAAATAATATGCCATGGTGTATACATGGCACTTTCTCTTTAACCATTCAGCTGTTGCTGAACAACTAGACTGATTCTATGACTTGACTGTTGTGAATAGTGACACAATAACATGAGTATGCAGCTATGTCTGTAGCAAGCCACCTTTGCTTCCTTCAGGTCTAGACCTAGAAGGGGGAGAGCTAGATTATTTGGTAGTTCTGGCTTATTGAGGAACTTGCATACTGACTTGTATCCCCAGCAGTATATTAAGGGTTCTTTCCCACCACATCATTGCCAGCATTTGATACATTTTTAAACTTTTAAGTATTTGTCATTCTGATCAGAGTTGGACTCAGTAGTTTTGATTTATATTTGCTTAATGACTAATAATGTTGCACAACTCTGCATTTATTTTTTGGCTATTTATACTTGTTCATTTGAGAAGTTTCTGTTAATTTTCCCATTTGGCTAAGTTTCAAGTACTAGATTGAATAATAGTAGATATAGCAGAGAACCTTGTCTTGTTCCTGATTTTAGAGAAAATGCTTTGACGTTTTTCCTTATTCAGTATAACATTGACTGTAGTTTTCTGTATCTGGCTGTGGTTAGGGTTTTCTTTGAGCTCCCAACTAGTTCCCAAATAAAGACAGGAGACTTATTATTAATTATGAATGCTCAGCCTTAGCTTAGGCTTGTCCCACTAGCTCTTTTAACTTAATTTAACCTGTTTCTGTTCATCTGTGTTTTGCTTTGGTGCTTTTTACCTTTCTTCCATTCTGTACGTCCGACTTTCCTGTTTCCTCTGTGTCTGTCTGTCTGGCCCTTGGCATCTATCTCCCTTGCGTCTCTTATTCCTTCTTCCCATGAACCTAAAGTCTTCCTACTTACTCTTCCTGCCTGGAAGTCCCACCTATATCTCCTCCCTTGCTGTTGGCTGATCAGCTTTTTATTAGACCAATCTTAAGCAGGCAAGGTAAAACAGCAATGTATCTTTATATAATTAAATAAAGCCAGCATATCCTTACATAGTTAAACAAATGCAACACATCTTTGCATAGTTAAATAAATATTCCACAACATTAACAAATGCAACTCATCTTTGCATAATTAAACAAGTATTCCACAACATATAACTTTCATTGTCTTGATGTATTATCATTTTCTTTCTGATTTCTACAGGCAGGGAGTTTTTCATGAAGAAATGTTGAATTTGTGAAAAAAAATTCTACATGTAGTAGTTATGCAATTTTTGTCCTGGACTTTCTTTGTGTGCTTTGTTTTTAAAAAAGATATTTGTCTTAGTTTATATGCATAAATGTTTTGCCTGTATATATGTGCATCATGTGTATAACTGTTGAATGGGTTCCATGGAAATCTCATTACAGATGATTGGGGGCTACTGTATAGGTTTTGGGAAACAAACCTGGGTCTTCTGGAGCAGTGAGTGTTCTTCAGCCTCTATTTGCTGTATTTTTATGCATTAATTCTTTTATGTGAGCTGAGTATATTGAGCTATTCCTGTATTCCTAGAATAAACCCTGCTTCATCATAGTGTTTGATCTCTTTGGTGTATTGCTGAGTTTGATTGCAAGTATTTTATTGATGAGTTTTACATTTCTGTTTACCAAGGAAATTGGCTTATAGTTATTTTTCTTGTTGCTTCCTTATTTGGTTTGTGTGTCAGTGTAGTATTAGCTTCATAGCATGAGTTTGCAAGCAGTCTGTTCTTTCTGTTTTGTGAAGTAGTGGAAAGACTTGATAGAACTGGGCAATCAGTCTATCCAGTCCTGGACTTTTTGTTTGTTGGGAGATTTTTTTTGTTTTGTTTTGTTTTGTTTTGTTTTGTTTTGTTTTGTTTTGTTTTGTTTTTTGTTTTTCGAGACAGGGTTTCTGTGTAGCTTTGCGCCTTTCCTGGAACTCACTTGGTAGCCCAGGCTGGCCTCGAACTCACAGAGATCCCCCTGCCTCTGCCTCCCGAGTGCTGGGATTAAAGGCATGGGCCACCACTGCCTGGCTGTTGGGAGGTTTTTTATGGATGCTTCAGTCGCATTGTTCATTGTTGATCTGTTTAGGCTTTTCATCTTGAGTCTTTGTACATGGTGTATACCTAGAAAAGTATCCATTTCTTCCAGGTTTCCCAATTTGTTAGAATGTATTTTTTCAAAGCACTCTCCAGTGATCCTCTAAACTTTAGAGGTATCTGTTGCTTTTCCTCTACTCTTGCTAGTTTCTTCTCTCTGTCTCTTCTGGTTTGTTTGGTGAAGCCTTTGTTGATACTGTTTATCCTTTCAAAGAACCAATTCTTTTGTTCATTGGTTCTTTATATTTCTAGTGTAATTTTGATTATTTCTTTTCTTTTTTTATTCTTTAATTTAATTTAGTTTTATTTTACAATACAATTCAGTTCTACATATCAGCCATGGATTCTCTTGTTCTCCCCCCTCCTGCCCCCCTCCCTTTCCCCCCAGCCCACCCCCCATTCCCACCTCCTCCAGGGCAAAGCCTCCCCATCATTGATCTTTATTTAGCTTTTTCAAGCATTTATCTGTACTGTACATCTGGAAGAGAAGGACATGTGTGCTGTGGCACATGTTTGGATGTCACAGGACAAGTGTGTTCTCTTCCACTTTGTGAATCCCAGGGATCAACCTCAGATCAACGGGCTTCACAGCAAGTGCTCAGCCCACTCAGCCATCCCTTGCACCCCTTTATTATTTCTTTCCTTTTTAAAGCTATATTTTATTGCTACAAACGGTTAAATTATGTTCCATTGTATGAATATACTTAAGTTTGCTTATTAATTCATAAATCAATGAGTGTGTTTATATTTGGAGGTATAATGTTATATAATAACAAGTGTTCTTGAACATTTGTGTGCAAGTCTTTCTATGAGCATAGGTTTTTGTTTATCTTTGTTATATACTTAATATTTGAATTTCTGGGCTTTAAGGAAATTATTTTACTGGTTTTCCAAAGATTCTTGATGTTTAAAATCAGAAAGCATGTCAGGGGCAATGAGCTTGCTCTTTTATTCATTTAGTTTTCAGGAATTAGAAGGCTCTAGTACTGGTTAGAATTTCAAAGACGGTTCTCAGTCATACTAAACATAGAAAATTCCAACTATAAACTAGAGACTCTTGGGAAACACCACTTATTAGAACAGAAAGGTTCTCAGTGTGCCAGGGTATCTCTGGTAATGTAGTGTCCTAAGTGAATGCTGTCATACTCTATCTGGACTATGCCGGAATGTTATTCCTGAAGTTCTCTTAGAACCAAGTTCTCAGTGTTGAATCTAAATGAAGTCTTGGCTTGGGGAGCACTCAGGAGGTTAAGTTGCTTTCACACGTGCATCCTGTACTGATGGTAACTTTCCTCATGGTTGAGCAGCATCACTAGAGTTGAGATCATTACACATAAGAGAAGCATTTGCTCTCTGTTTTCCTTTATCCCTCTGCAAGAATCCTGACTCAGTGCAGTTGCTAATGAAATGGTGCTTCGGGGACCCATGAAGAAGGCAGTCTGCAGGAATTGTTAATTATTTCTAAAAATAACTCCCAGAGACAGGCAAATGGTAACGACTAGGTTCTGGCACTTTATGGTTATAGCAACCACTTTTCTGTATTTTGATTCCCTACCCTCGTGCTAATTATCTCTGTGTGGACATTATGATGGTGTGTCATTGAAAGTATTAAAAATTTAATTAATTGCTTTACCATTATATCTTGTAGAAAATATGATAGTGGTAATCTTATATTCTTATTTTGGTTTGCACAAAGCTAACTAAACACAAAGCAACTGAAAAAAAATCATCAGAATACAAATTACATATAACAAAGCGAAGCTACTGATTACTGATTTTAGTGTTTTTATTTTCTGTAGCAACAGTGGCTAAGTCCAAAGAATGTCAAGTAAAACATTTGTCATGCCCTAGTCTTTGCATATTTCCGCTAGAAGGTTTTAAGCTTGGTCATAGAGATGTAGCTGCGACAACAATTTTAAAAGATTAATGTGTGTGTGTGTGTGTGTGTGTGTGTGTGTGTGTGTGTGTGTGTATGTGTGTATGTTTGTAATCATAGAGGCCAGAAGAGTGTGTTGGAACACCTACAGCTAGAGTTAGAAACAGTGTGAGCTGCCCAGCCTGTGTGTTGGGATACAAACTCAGGTCCTCTGAAAGAACAGCAATTGCTCCTATCTCCTGAGCCTTTCTCTAGCCTCTAAATCAAAAATTAAAATAAAAATCAAATAAATCAAATATTTAATTATAAAACACAGAAGTTGAACACATTGAATATGTCAGTGTTGATATCTTATTACTATTTGATGTGGTATTTTGTTAGTTTTCTATGATAATCATTGCTCATGCTGGCTTATGATGATGTTCTTATTGTATTGCAATCAGTTCATTAAATGGAACTGAGATCTTACCAAATAAAATGACTAGAGTTTATCATTTAATCAGTCTGGGACATGAATGTAAATGTGTGTGTGTGTGTGTGTGTGTGTGTGTGTGTGTGTGTGTGTGTGTGTGTGGTTTTTGAGATATGATCTCTCTATGTTGCCTTGGCTATACTGGAACTCACACACTAGACTAGACTGGCCTCGAACTCATAGAGATCCACCTGCCTTTGCCTCCCAAGTGCTGGGATTAAAGGTGTGCATCACTACATCTGCTGTTACAGGAGTGGGAGTGTGTTTTTAAAATTTCACTTAAATTGTCATTTGATATTAAAAAGTGATTGAGTCTAAGACAATTTTTAAATCTTACACAGTCAACAAAGAATATATTTTACAAGTTTTATTTCCATCTTCTCTGACATGTCATTACTTACTTCAGATAAGGCCAGAAGTGCCTGTTCCTGATGAGTTGGATGAAGAGGAATCTGTGGACCTTTCCATTCCTGGCCCTTGCTATCTGAGACTGTTGACAATCACTGCTCCTTCAGTTTTACCAGGTGACTCCTATTTGGCAACCATAGGGTTAGCATTGTTTAGTGATTTTTGCCTGTTTCATAAATTGTGGGGCCTCTTTGTTTGTTTGCTGTGCACATGCTGTAGTTTACTCTCACATAGATACTTTCTAGCTGAAATACTAAGTATAATTGTGTTCTATAGGGACTGTCTTAGGTAATATGGTATTTTAACCATTGGGTGACAGTAACATTGAGCTGGAAAATGAGTTTAAATAATTGATCTCAGTGTAGCTAGAATTCATTTCACAAACTAAGTTTATTGTGCCAGACAGACTTGCATTGGGACTCTAGGTCACCGCTTTAATTAATGGCCTTTTATTATAAGCTAAGTGAGAAAGATGGCCATTTGGCTTTTGAGAGATTTACTAGTAGTTTTACTGTTATGAATTTATTCCTTTTTTAATTTATTTACTATTTTATATGTTTGGGTGTTTTGGTTGGATGTATGTTTATGTACCTTGTGCATGCGTGGTGCCTGAGGAAGTGTTAAAGACTATTGTGAGTTGACACATGGGTGCAGGGACTAGAATTTGGGTCCTCTGCAAGATCAACAAAGATTCTTAACTGCTGAGGCATCTCTCTACGCCAATTTATTCTTTCTGTACAGAACACGAATCACAGCATTAATATTTGAGAGCTCTAAATTAATGTCTCTAACAAATGGTCAAGGTGGGTGCATTGATGCGCACAGGTGGGAGGTCCTGATGAGGCAGAAGCTGGAGGATCATGGGCTGGAAGCTGGGGTTATACTCTTGCCAGGCATGGTGAATTTGAGGCTCAGCTGGTCTATGCAGTGAGGTCCAGGCCGTCCAGGGCTACATAATGAGACCATGTCTTTTATTTTTACTTTTATGTATTTTTGTTTCAATGATCAAATTATGTGGTCATTCAGCTTTGATATAAAGTTTATTGGACTGTTAGCCTTTAAAAGGCATGCCGTGCATGTGTGTGGTGCTCACATATGTAGAACTTTCACTGCCCCTATTTTAGTCTTACATAAGAAACAGTAAGTGATTATAGTTTGAAATGTGAATTGTGGACTGTGATTAAAATTTATATTATTTAAAAATTTATCTTCTGATTTTTAAAAAAAGACTTAAAAATTCTGTAGATGATCCATTGTGATTTGAAGCTTCTCAGTGTTATCCCACATTTGCTTTTTGTTCGAATTCTACCTTGAATATGTGTGTGTGTGTGTGTGTGTGTGTGTGTGTGTGTGTGTGTGTGTGTAGTGTAATAAAATAAATGTCATTATGTCCTTTCAACTTAGTTATTGTAATTTGATTGTAGTAATCTGTAATGTTATCTTTTATTCTTGATTTTGTGACACACAATGATTCCTTGAAAATTTAGCCAAATTTATTGTTTACTTATAGACAAAACTCCTGTCCATCCCTGCCTTCTTTCATTAGGGCAAACTGAATCGTGGAGCTGAGGCAAAGATACGTTTTCATTTCTTCTCTTCTTTACGAAAAGCCTCAGAGGCTTGTTCATGTTACTTTCTTCTCCACACTTCCTACCTCATGGCTTCCCAGGAGCCTTGGGTCTCTCTGGGGTTAACAGCCAGCAGGAATAAGAAACAGCCTTCTTACGCAACATTCCTCTAGTGTCCTTAAACATCCATCTCCAGTAGTTTATTTGGACTGTTAAAGTGATTTTGTGTCCTTTGCTGATTCCTGCTGTGGTCAGCAGAGGGGCAGGAGTGTCTGGGAAGGTGGAAAATGTTGCTACTGAGCAGCTCTTTTGGGCACTGGTACCTCGGTGCTGGTATCTGTACTTGATGGTTACAGTACTCCACCAACTCTGGTTGTTTGAGGAAATCACTAATTGGAGTCAAGTTGATTGTGGAGGTACTAACTATGTCTGGCAAACCACCACGATAGACTACATGTTACATTCTTGTGTGCTCACTTTCTCTGATTAATGGAGCACTGACAGACGAGGACATAGGCTGCAGCCATAGGAACAGAGACTGGAAGCATACCCGGTGGATGCTGCATGATCCTCACTCGTTAGTGATTATTTCTCCTCCCCTCCTCCTCCCCTCCCCCTCCTTCCTCCTTCCTCCTCCTTCTCTTCTTCTTAACAAATGATTTTTAAAAAAATTTCACCTGTATGGGTGCTTTGCCCACATGTATGTAAATGCACTATGTGTGTGCCTGGTGCCCATGGAGGACCGAAGAGGGTGTCAGATCTTCTGGAACTGGAGTGAAATACAGTTGTGAACTGCCCTGTGGATGCTGGGAATTGAACTCTGGTCTCTTGCAAAAGCAGGATTCATTCTTAACTACCAAGCCATCATCTTCCCAGACCCCAATATTGAGCTTATTAAAGTCCTAGCTGAAAATTATTTGTATTGTTGTCCTCTTTGGATTTTGCCAGATGCTCTGAGTTTGTGGACTTTAGGAATTAGGCATTTTTTCATTCAGCATAGTATATTTAAGATCCTTAACCTAGCTCCGTATGTTAATTTTTCTGAGTTGTTGGATGCTTTTTCCTTAGATATAACTGCAGTGTCAACACGCTCCCCTTGTTGTCCTATAGATTTTCCTCCTCTTTTCAATCCTCACTGGTTATATGCAATGAAGAGGCCAAGGTAAAGGCTTCGGAGAGCAGGAAGAATGCCGGCTGCTGGCTCCATTGCTTGGGGGAGGATGGTGTTCTCTGTAGTGGCTTCATTGAGGTGCCAGCATCTTTCTCTCACCTCCCTTTTCCAGGACAGAGCTGAGAGGTTTTCACTGGCCACAGAGCTTGACAAGTAGACAGCTTTCTGTGGCTGGAGCAGCACGCTTGCCAGTGTGTCTTTCTCTTCTGACGTACTCGTCCCCTTTGTCAGAACACAGTTCTTCCTGAAGGAGCACGAAATTACCCTCTTACCAAAGTGCTCCTAGCTTCCCAGTCACATGACTCACACTCATTTTGAAAATCTGTCCTCAGACTGAGCTTGGAGCAGGCATACCTTTACCACAGTGCTCAGGAACTGGAGTACATAGCCTGTGATTACATGTCATTCACTTGTTTAGATGTTACATTCATCAAGGTCATGACAGGAAAAGGAGTTCATGCTCTATGGAATAATTGAAGAAAGTTTAATAAAGTGATTCTTTAAAAGCATGTTTTCGAAGTTAATGGAAATTCATTAGACATGATGGATGAATCATCCGAGAATAGAAGGTCCTCTGGCCTGTGTAGGGAGGGAGAGAGACATTCGTGTCACCAATAGAGCTGCCTAAGGGGAGACAGCCCTCTAAACAAGGGTGCAGGCAGCCTGTAGTAACCTGTTGGACAGTGTCTAGGGAATCGGTTCCTTGACTTCACTGGGTTTTCACCCTTTGATCTGCTGCCAGTGCCTTTCACTGGTTGAAACACTGAGCAGCCCGTTGCTGCATTAAAGTTTACTTTTGGAGGCTCCAGAGCAGTGTTGAGAAGGGTGGAGGGCAAGTGTGGAGGAGTCAGTAGAAACTGTCCCCAACAGATATTCTCAGTACTCTGTGTGTGTGTGTGTGTGTGTGTGTGTGTGTGTGTGTGTGTGTGTATGTGTGTGTGTGTGCGCGCGCGCGCGTGCGCGCACGCGCTCATTTGTATAGACCAGAGATTGGCTTTGTCTATCTTCTTCAGTTGCTCTTCCTCCTTATATTTTGAGTGAGAGTCTTTTGCTTGTACCTGGGCATTGACGTTGGGTTGACGGTCTGGCTAGCAGGTTGCAGGGGTCTTCTTGTCTTTGACTCCCCAGGCAGGGATGGCATGTGTGCACTGCCTCACTTGGCTTTTTTATACAGGTGCTGGGGATCAAACTCAGGTCCTCATGCTCTGCCACATGCTTTATTGACTGAGCAACCTCCCCAATCCCTCTCTTTGCTCTGTATGAATAAATTTGGTTGCATGCAGGAGCTTATATAGAAAGAGAGAAGGACACTGAGTAGATGTGCTATCGAGTATTTGCTCTTTCAGATCCTGGTCATTTAAAGATCTTGAGGTAGAAGTATTCCTAACAAAATTCAGATGTGGCTGGGTGGACCCCTGCCTTTCTGTTCCTGTTGGAGGAACATGCAGTAGTCTCTGTCTCTGTCTCTGTCTCTCTCTCCCTCCCTCTCCCCCACCCCCAAGTGATTTATCTACCTTTAATGCTTTGTTTTTGTTTCTGTATTGGGCAGCCTCTAGTGGCCCTTATGGAAATGACACCTAAATATGAACCCATTAATCTTAGCAGTTACTTTGTTTGACATCTTGCTATCTTCTGATCTTACATTATTATGTTGTTTAGTAGTACATACACTGTCAAATAGCAAAGATCACAGGCTTTATTAGGAGTGTAGACAAGGTAGTAAGGAAAGAAGTTTTCAGTTTTTTAATCCTTGTACTAACATTGCTACAGAATGGTGCTTGGTTCTAAAAGATCTCTCTGAAAACATCCAAAGGACAAGCAGGACTCATTCCATGATAATCTGGTAATAGTATGCTCCAGGTAGACAGCCAGCTAGTCTCGTGTAACCGTGCAACACATAAGCCTGTATTTTTGAAGAAGAGAAAGGTTATTTGGAAAGGTCTTTAACTTGGCAAGAAGGGAACGTGGCAGAAATGAGGTCAGGGAAGAATGCTGACGATTCCTGGTTTGTGCTCAGAGGCTATGCAGTGTTTTTCTTTAAACGTGCAGTGAAAGCTATTGGGTGGCGTTAAGAAAGGAAAGGACCACCTCAGCTTCTGGCTGGAGGATGCTGTAGGAATGATCTGGAGGAAGAAGAAACTAGAGATGTGGCTTTTACATTAGCATATTTGAGAAAGGACAAAGATAATAAGCAGGCAAGGTTTCATAGGAATGGTTGTAAAAGAATTGGACTCTGAAGGTGGAGCCACAAGAACTTGCCGATGGATTATATGTAAGAAATGAAGAAGTAAGAGTAAATTCTAACTCCTGATACCTGAACAGTGTGGTGCTTTGTTCTAATTTGGGGAAATTTAAGAAAGAGATGATGATCAGTAGTTTGCTTTTCATTCTGCAAATTTCAACCTGAAATATAGCTAGCTGTCTGTGTACCAGTTAAGAATGAATGTTCTGCTTTTGGAAAGCCACATTTATTTGGGTTTTGAACTCTTTTTATTCTCTTTCAGCCTTGGAAGAATTCTTTACATCCCTTGTGAAACAAGAGATGGTGAATATGCCCCGGGGAATATATCATTCTGCATTGAAAGGAGGCATCCGATCAGACCAAGGGAAGACGGTAGCAGGAATCCCCAGTTTTATATTGAAGATGTATGAAACAAACAAGCAACCAGGGTTGAAACCTGGCCTAGCAGGTATGAATACTGCACAGTGGTGAAGTACAGGTTTATAGAAGAGTCCTGTCCTAACTCTTACTTTCATGAAGAATTGTAATGGGTTAGATGGTAGGATACCATTGTTGCTGCTGCTAACATGTACACACAGCTGAAAAACTTACCACAAACCTAACTTGAAAAGGAATCCCAAAACTGTAGAAGCAAAGACTATAGTCTTTTTTTTTTTTTTTTCTGGCTAAAGCAAAAAAAAAAAAAAAAAAAAAAAAAAAAAAAAAGGATAGCTTCCAATTCCAGGACAGGGAGAATATTTTAGAGTTTTTCAATCCTTGGAACATATTCACTATTCTGGCTATGAACTTGATTGGGAGATGGCTCAGGCAGAGGTCAGGTCTGTTGGAGGAAAGAACAACAACCAATGGCCAACAAATGTATAGAAACAATTTTAATATCCTTAGCCATCAGGGAAATGCAAATCACGACTCCATTGAGATTCCAGCTCAGCCTAGTCAGAATAGCCATTATCAAGAAAACAAACAAGAAATACAGATAATGACACAGAGAACAAGCCATGCTCATACACTATTGTTGGAACTGTAAATTAGTTTAGCCACTATGGAAGTCAGTATAGATGTTTCCCAGAAGATGAACACTAGAACTGCTGTATGATCCCCCCATACCACTTGTTGGTTTTACCCAAAGTAATCAAAGTTAAGCATATAACATAATATACTTGCACTTTTGTGTTTATTATGACACTGCTCAAAAATCAGCCTGTGTCTGTCACTAGATGAATTAAAAAAAATCTGTACTTTCCATACATATGGATTTTTATGTTACCATAAAGAGGAGCAAAATCATGTCATTTGTAGGAATACTGTATGTCATCATCTAAGTGAGATTCAGAAGGATATACTGCATATTTGCAATCTAGATTTTAAAATAGAACATGAAAGTAGGGGAGACTATTTGGGGAGAGGAAGGATGCTAAGAAGAGGTAGGAGCTAAGAGGTGATACTGGCATAAATATGATCAAAATACATGATATACATGCACAGAAATGACATAGTGGAGCCAATTATTTTATACAGTGAATACACCAATAAAGATACTTTACAAATTAATTGGAACTACACCATAGTGAGGACAAACCATATAACAGCTTATAGAATGTAGTTACAATCTTTTTCTGTTGACTAATTGATTGATTTTGTGTTTGTGTATGAGTATGAGCAAGTGGTGTATGTGTGTGGAAATGCACAGTGTTGTGGGAGTGCTTGGACTTGTGTGTGTGTGTATATGTGTGTGTGTGTGTGTGTGTGTGTGTGTGTGTGTGTGTGTGTGTGTATTTGGAGGTCAGAGGGGAACATAGCATGTCTTTATATATCACTTTCCACCTTATTCCTTTGAGACAGAGTATCTCACTGAACCTAGACCTATGCAAGCCCCCAGGATCCTCATGTTTCCATCCCTCCAGGATTAGAGTTAAATGTATACCTGTGACAATGATTGACTATGTATATGTGTGTGCGTGTATGTGTGTGTCTCCTTGCATCTCTTAATTTGCTTTCTATTGCTGTGATAAAACATCATGACCAAAATCAAACTTTGGGAGGGAAGGTTTATTTCACCTTATAGTTTACAGTCCATCACTAAGAGAAGTCAGGGCAGGAACTCAAGACAGGAGCTAGGAGGCAGGAACTGAAGCAGAGACCATTGAGGAGTGCTGCTTACTGATTTGCTCCCCATGACTTGCACAGTCTGCTTTCTTAGAAGACCCAAGACCACCAGCCCAGGGGTGGCACCGCCCACAGTGGACTGGGTCCTCCCACATCCATCATTAATATTAAGAAAATGCCCCACAGGTTTTGCTCCTGGCCAATCTGGTGGAGGCAGTTTCTCAATCGAGGTTTCTCTTCCCAGATAATTCTAGGCAAACACCTAGCTAGAACAGAAATATATACTTTCAATTTGCATATTAGAAACAAGGAAGGGAAACTAAACTTCTGTTTAAAAGAGCTTGGGAAAGAATTGCAAATCAAGTAAAGATCATAAAAACATGTGACCAAAGACAAAAAGATACTCTTTAAGTGAAGGTTTCACAAAATCAATAAATATGGAAGGCTGAGGATGCCTATATGAGTAACAGCAAAGGAAATACTACTTCAGATCCTACACCATTCAGAAAGATAAATGCTACTAATCACCTTTAGGCAATATTCTTCAAAGTTTAAGTGAGATACATAAGTTCCATAAAATATGAAACTGATAAGAGAGAGAGAGATTATATGAACAATTTGATATTGACTGGAGAGATTAATTCTCTAACCTAATTATCTTCCTACAAAGAAAGCTTAGGTACTGGCGACTTCCTGATGAATTCTTCTGAAGTTTGTCAAGAAAAAGGGAAATGGTACTAAATTTATACAGACAGTGGCAAGAACACAGAGAAAACGGATGCTTCTTCATGGGAAGCAGCATAATATTAATACCAGAACTTGATCATGACTTTACAAAACAGGAGGAACCTTATGTGCCACCCTTTTCCAGTGAGCACAGTTGGAAAGATAGGGTAGGAAGGAGGTTTATTTAAGCAATATATGTAAAGGGCAAGAGGGGTTAATTTCATGTTTCAAAGCTAGGATAGTTAATTGTTTTAATTTACAAAGGTAGGTCAATCTTTAAGTAGATTCAAATGTGCAGAAAAAAATGTGAGAAGTTTAGCACATGTTCATGATGCCAAAAAGACTCATTAAAAATTATGTATAGATGGAACCTTGTTTTGTTCTGATAAGAGATACCCACCAACACGTGCTTGTAGTTAATCCTGAAATATTGAATCTTTGCTGTCTAATAGTGGAAAAATTCTAAATACTATTATCACCACTCCTACTTAATATTGTACTAGAGGCCAGTGCAGTCAGCCAAGGAAAAGAAATAAAAGTTACATGGATTAAAGAAATAAAACATTCATTACTTACAGATGACATGATTGTGTTCATAGGCAATCCAAAATAATCGATAGATAATTATTAGGACTAATAGTTGAACTCCTTTCATCAGTTACTGTGTGTGTATGTATACACACACACACACACACACACACACACGCACACATATACTCAAAAGTGAGTGTATAAAATCACTTGTATATTTCATATACTATAATGAGTAGAAAATGGAATTTAAAACTATAATAGCATCATAAATATTGAATATTTAAAATCTGTAGCCTGTATGTTCATAGCTGCAAAATAATATTGAAAAAACCATAAATATAGTGATATGTGATATTTATGGGCTAGAAGGATGCATATTATAAAATCTAAATTCTTTTCAAATTAATATATAGGCTTAAGTAAACCATAATCAATACCCTGCTAAGTTTTTGACAGTTGACAGTCTTATTCCAAAAACTGTGTGGAAGTACAAAAACCCAAGAATAACCAAGGCAGTCTTGAAAAATAGCAACAACAAAGACATACATTACCAGATGTCAAGACCAATTATAAGCCCACGAAAATTGGTGATGGGGTGTTAGTGCAATGTTAGACAGGCTGACCCAAAGAATACATTGTGAAACATGCACACGTAACCAATTTGTCACTGCTGTTTATTTTTACTTTGTGTGTGTGTGTGTGTGTGTGTGTGTGTGTGTGTGTGGTGTGGTCCATGTATCCACGTGTGTCAGGGGTGCACATGTATGCCCTTGCATGTGAAGGGAAGTGTTTTCTTTGGTCCTCCATCTTATCTGAGTGAGGGCCTCTCATGCACCGGGCTGGCTCAGTGAGCTCTAGGGATCCACCTGTCTCTGTGTACCCAGTGCTTGGGTTTCACATACATGCCACCCTCCTCTGCTCTTACGCCAGTACTAGGCACTGAGCTCATGTCCTCATGTCTGTGTGGCAAGCACACAGTGCTGACTAAGCTTCCCCGGTCTAAAAGCTCTAGTTTAAAAGAATGACAAATACATTAAGGACATTTATATGATGTACATATCTGATAAAGGACACATGGAGAATGTATCAAGAACTTTTGCAAAGTAATAAAAATTATTTAATAGCAAAACTAGAAGTCATTTGAGTTGACACTTCAAAAGAGGGTGTTCCACCATCACATAATTTCAGCGTTAACCGTTGTTTCCTGTAGTATGAAGTTTTTCTGATGAAGGATGGGCTCAGCATTAATTAATAAATATAACATGAGTACTTAAAAGGCAATTTGACAACATGACCATTTAGCAAAACATAGTAGTAGGTTCCTCCCTTGGACCTGTGACTTCCCCAGCCATGCTCTTGAATAGACTGTTGACAGTTAAGGGTGTGGGGGAGGGGTATCATTTTCTTCAGCAGGGTAGCCACTGTTGAGTTGCCCTTGCTCCAGGAATAATCTCCTACTCACGCTTGGGCAAGAAACTATAATTAAACTCATTGGACCACACACTAAAGGGAAATAGGGAAGTAGGAGGGACTTGTTGGGAAGGAGGATTCCAGCAGGAGACAGGGATGAGAGGGGGACCTAGGTGGAAATGACTGAAATTCATTCTATAAATGTGTGACACAGTCAAGCAGGGTTTAAAGAAATATTCACATGTGCAATAAACATATGAGAAGATAATCAACTTTAATATTAAAAAAAACCTGGATTAACGCTATATTAAGATCACATTTCATACCATTGGAATGGATAAAAGATGGAAAATACAAAGTACAGTTGGTTGTATATTCCCCCAGGTTTTATATCTGAGGAGTCAACCTACTACATATCAAAAATATTAATAAGAAAGTTTATAGTTGTGCTGAACACATGCAGACCTTTTCTTATTATTAGTCCTCCAACAATCCAACACAGCAACTGTTTATGCCTCGTCTAATGCCTGCATTGTATTTGTTGTAAACTATATAGGGGTTCATAAGAAATGTAGGAGGAAGTGAATAGGTTATATGCAAATGCTATTTATGAATATTCATGAATTCTGCTGACCACAGGAGTTCTTGGAACAGTTCCCATAGATACCAAGAAATAACTATTGGTGAGGTAACTAAGACAGCTGTTGCTAATATAAGTTCCTATGAACTTATATTTGATTCTGAACAAATTCCTACATTACTTGGGTTTTTATTTTTACAGAATTTAAGCCCAATAGATGCTACTGGAGACATAAGTTCATAACAGTACTGTTTGCCTAGTGTTTAACCCAGGAGCTATCTAAATGCTTGTTTGCAGTAAAATTAATACACAAATGTTGCATATTCATGTGAAAGAATATGATGAGAGAATGAGTAGACAACTGCCAATAAGGATAAGAGGATTCTCAAAACAGTGAGGGTGAGTGAAAGAAGTCAGATATGAAATCATCTTTATGGTCTAATTCATAAAAAACAAACAAACAAACCTTGATAGGCAAAGTGACTGTTTAGAAGTTATGCTGCCAGTGGAGCTGGAGGTGTGACCAGAAGGTGGATTTGACGGCTTCTGAGATACACATAATGATTTGCTTCTTGATCTGGATGTTAGTTTGAAAGAAAATGGCCCCCAAAGGGAGTGGCACTGTTAGGAGGTGTGACCTTGTTGGAGTAGGGTGTGGTCTTGTTGGAGGAAGTGTGTATTGTTGGTGGAGGCGGGCTTTGAGGGCTCACATATGCTCAAGCCACACCCAGTGAGTTAGTCAACTTCCCGGTAGTCTGCAAGATCTAGCACTCTTAGCTCCAGTACCATGCCCCCCATGTGCCCCGCCCCATGATGATAATAGACTGAATCTCTGAAACTGTAAGTGAGCCACCCCAATTAAATGTTCTCCTTATAAGAGTTGCCATGGTCATGGTGTCTCTTCACAGCAATAAAAACCCAAACAAAGACAATCTGGGTCCTGCTTAGATAGGTCTTCTTAGTGCAAAACAATTTACTCAGCTGTGTTTATAAACTATGCACTTTTCTCCAACATATACTAAGAATACATGTTGGAAATTTAATGGTGTCTATATTTTATGTCATTTTTGTCCTTGAATATGTATTTTCATTAGCTCAAAATTAATAAGTTTCCATTAGTTAACTGGGGTTGTCATAAGTTACCTCTCAGGTACTTTACTGGCTTCCTTGGCTTTTGATTGGTTTGGGGGCCTAGCTAGTACTGGACATTCAGTTGAGAACTCACTTAACTATAGTTAACAAAGGCAGGGAAAAGAGGGGCAACCAAGAGCTGGCTGATCCAGGTATGAGGTCAACTTGTTTATGTGTGGGCCTTATGTTGTCAAGAGTTGACATAGATTAATATGCACACATATTTTTATTTATTGAAACTCATTGTAGGATAAATCTTAATAGTAGTACCAACGGTTTGCAAAAATGTGAAATCAATAAAAAATTATAAATTTACTTTCTTTTAAATGTTTATACTGATAAATGTTAATTATAAGTGACTTGTAAATAAGTTATATTTTAAATGTTAATTTTTGTATTCCATCTGTTTTTTCCCTTCTTTTGACACCAATGTTAAAAAATAATAATTTGCTCAACAATTTATGTTTTCATTTATAAGTTCTCTATCCAAATTGGCTCAGTGTGGATTACTGAGAATATAATTCACAATTTTTTTTTTTTTGTCATTGGAAATGCTCATTCTGAATTTCTTTATTTTGAAAGGTGGCATGCTGTTTTGCTATGATGTTGCTATGTATCAGAGTAAAGATGGCAAGCCCCTGAATCGGCTGATGGCCAGTAGAGGGCGAAGCTTCAAGCAGACATCACTGGCCCTTGTCCATGAAGTAGGTGGTGTTCCATACCCCATCAGCCTCTTTGTGTTTTAGAGTTCCTCCTTTCCCTTCATGCATATGGAATTGAATTTGTTTAGAAAGGTTGTTTTTCTTTGCCACAGTTAGCACAGGTTGCTTTTAATGGTTTCCAAAATAACTGACCAAATAGGATGCTAAGTCCAGTGTTTCTGCAAGAGACAGTTAAAACTTCCCCGCTGCCCAACAGAAGTATTAGGGAGTAGTGTCTAAAGATTTTACTTTTTTACATATTTCAGCTATGTTTAACTTCCATTGTTTAGATTGAATTTTAACTTATTTAAAGAAAAAGTACTGCCCTTGTTTTTTTTCTCTTAAAAATTGGTTATGTGTGTGTGATAGCATACATGTGCATGCTATAGTGCATGTAGGGGTCAGAGGACAACTTGTAGGAAGTTGTTTTCTCTTTCTACCATATGGTTTCTGGGGATTGAACTCAGGCCATCAGACTCAGAGGCAGGTGCTTTTACCTGGAGCATCCTCCTGACCCCCTTTCCTTTAGGCTTTATTTATTCTTTAGTGTGTATGTGCATGCTTATGGCACTTAGAAGTTAGAGGGCACCCTGTAGGAGCCAACTTTTCCCTTCTACCTTGTAGGCTTTGGGGATTGTCAGACTTGGCAACAAGTACTTTTCTCCAAGGAGTCATCTTGCCAGCTCCTACAAAGTATTTGAAGTCCTTTTTGATGACAACATAATGAGTTTTTTTCTGTCCCACCAGTCAGCTCCCAAATGATGACATGGAGACTTCTTTTTAATTATGAAAGCCCCTGGCATGATGACCTTCTTCATGATGATGGAAAGCTCCAGCTCATGTCTCCTGGCATGATGATCTTTCTTCTTCCCAGAGTCCTCTCTGTCTCCGGAAGTCCCGCCTAACCTCTTCCTGTCTAGCTATTGGCCATTCAGCTTTTTATCAGAAGGTGCCTTGGCAAAGCCACATCTTCACAGTGTAAACAAATATTCTGCAACATAACAGTGTCTCTCATTCAGTTAAAGAGAGAAAAGTCTGGGAGGAGTGATGTTTCTCTCAGGGAAATGTTTAAACAAAGCAAAGGAAAACAGGTCATTTCTGTATCTACTATTCCCAGGCATCTCCTTAGTTAGCATGGAAAAGAAAGAGATGTGCTACCTTTACCATTTTAAGCTCTACATTTAGGTATTTTCAGGACAAATCCAAGTTTAAACTCTTCATGAAAAGCAGATTTGAAAAGTTATCAGAACGACATTTTTAAAAAGGTGTGGGCTAGTAGAAGCTATCTGTTAAATTTAGCTAATGTATCAGAAGCTATGCGATATGCTCCACATATGAACAGAGAAAGTGTCTGGATTAAGATACTTGTAGCTTGTGTTAGAGATGGCCTAGAAAATCTCAGAGGGGTGAGAAAATGACAGTATTATTTGGGAATCATTTAGAGGGCCTTTTGGACAGAATTCTGTGAAATCCAGGATGGGATTTTAATTCAGATTCAGTTCCTATGGCCCAGTATTAGCTGCTGGTATGAAGGACTGGAGTTTGGTTTTAAGCACCCACATTAGGCAACTCACAACTGTCTATCACTACAGCTCCAGGGGATTCAGTATCTTCATCTGGCCTCCATGCATACCTCTATGCACATATGAACACACACACACACACACACACACACACACACACACACACACACACACACACACACACACTTCTGAACTGTTTAGCCAGAAGTAATGAGAGTTTTGAGAGCTGACCAATAACAATTATGTAAGAGCAGCTTACAATCAACTGTACACTTTAACAGTCACTGTATCACCCCCACTGCATATCTGCACATACAATGTATGTCTCTGCCATCAGGTGTCTCAGCTGACTGCTTTTTGACTTTTTGATGCTCCAAAAGTCATATGGCTTTAGTTGAAACAGTGCTTTGAATCTGCATTTTCTTGGGCAGGCAACAACAATGCGCTCTCTTGATCTTACCCAAGGGCAGCAAACTGTAGCTCATCGAGCCTCTCCACTGGGATAAGCTGCTGTATTTTGCAGCGTCCTGCTGTGTGACTGAGCTATGATGCCTGGCAAATTAGGTTACTTAAGTCCATTTTCAAGTTAGGACATTTTTAGTTTGTAATGTTTTATTAGGATGTAACCTCATAATTACAAGTAGAAGAGCACAGTTTCTTCATTCATTTTATTTCCACATCCACGATCTGAGGTAGGTCCTGTTAATTTGTTCAAGATCATAAAGCAGCTAAGTGGAAGAGTCTGGGAATGGAACCCTGGAATTCAATTTCAGGTTGTTACTGTAGAGCTTAGCCACCATATCAAGTGAATTTTTGAAACTTTCTTCATTAAGTCCACAGCTTTTACTTATTTACTTTTGGCTTTTCTTTGGCATTTCTGATTTACCAGTACCACCACTGGTAAAATCTAGAGCCATTATTAAATAAAATATGGGGTACTTGAAATCAAGCTCAGCAGTACCTTGAGAATTAATATGGAAACTAACTCAGAGTTACAAAGTGAGTAAGGACTGAGGGGCAGGTAATGCGTACAGCCTGGACACACTGGGCAAAGGAGTGCTTTATGTCTACAGTGGCACTGTGAAAGGTGTTCAGGACAGCATGCAACCTCAAACATACAAGTACTTTCTCTGTGGGGTTTTCAGTTTAATGATCAGACTGCAGTTCACTGTGAGTACCAGAAATCACTGACAGTGAAACTGACTGCAGTTAAGGACAGCCACTGCCCCCCTCAGTCAATCAGAAAACATTTAAAAACTACCTTGACTCTTAGCTCTTCTCCAAATCTGGCTTTTTTTTAAAGTGTGTGTGTGTGTGTGTGTGTGTGTGTGTGTGTGTGTGTGTGTGTGTGTGGTTGTTGTTGTTTTTCTGGAGTCTGTTTGGCATTTTTCTAGATGTTTCTTCAAACGCTGCTTTGGTTCCTACTGCTACTGTAGGCTGTGTCTTTGGAAGTTTTTCCTGAGGATTTAGTTTGTTTATAGTTTACTGGTTTGGTGTACCTTTGGTTTGCTTCTGGTTTTTGGTAATTGTGTAAACACTCCCATGATAATTCCTCACTCAGCTACTCAGATATCTTTGTAGAAATCTGTTTTCATTTCCTTTAAGTAGAGAAATAACTTACTTGGGGTATTTGGTAAGTGCACAGAAAACTTTATATAACGCTAGTAGACTCTTTCTCAGTGGCTGTCTCCTTGTGGATGCCCCTGCACTATACAAGAGTTCTCTGCCTACCTCCTTACCAGTGACCGGAATTGCTAGCTTTAAAGACTATGGACTGTGGGAGGTTCATTTCGGTACTGGTGTTAAGCGTCTTTTTACATGTCCCTTTGTCATCCTTATTTTTCCATGATGTGTCTACTTTTTCACTATTTTTTTTTCCCCAAGGACTTGTTTTCTAAAAAAAAAGGATTTTACACATTCTTATTCTAGATATAAATATTTTTCTAGAAATGGATTTTAAAATTTTTTTTGCGTAGTTCTGTCATTTCCTTAAAAATGACTTTCTTTTGAAAATTGGATTTTTAATTTTTAAGACTCTAAATTGTCATGTTTTTCTTTGTATGGCTCTTTTTTGTCTGAAGCAAGATTACAAGAATTTTCATTTTCTCTTTTTCTTAATTTAAGTTTTATTCATTAATTCTTAAAGTAGAGGTATAATTCACATGTCCTAAAACCCACCATATATATATATGTGCATATGTATATACATACATATATATATATATATGTATATATATTCAAAATATATGGTTAATTGGGTCTGGCTACTTACACGTAGGATGGTTTTTAAGGTTTGTCCATGTTGTAGCACACGTTGGTTCTGCACTGTTTTCATGGCAGAACAGTATTTTACTAAGTAGGTACCCCACATCTAGTGTATTTATTAGTCAACTTGTAGTTAGGCTATGTTTTCATGTGAACGTTTTACAGTTTGAAGTGTGCATTTTAGGCTATGGCCCATTATAGTTTAATGTTTCTATAAGGACTGGTTATTGTTCTTGTAGATACGTCCTTCACTGGATTACCTAATTACCATTGTCCAAAATTATCCCCCCTCCACTCACTCTTCTCTCCTTCTGACCCTCTCTTCTCCTTCCCTTCCTCCCTCACTTCTGCCTCCCCCCTCCCCCCGCCCGCCCGCCTGCCTGCCCACCCGCCTGTCTTCTTTCCCTCCCTCCCTGGATTGTGTATTTTCAGTTTTTGTTTCCATAATATGTGTCGTTGATCTATATTTCTGTAATTTCACTCAAATTATTCAGTTTTATTATTATTACCTAGTAATGAATCTCACAATGAAGTAGCATGACTTTTAATTCTAGGCCCTTTGCTTTTCTATGTAAACATAAAAACAGCTTTGAGATGTCTCATGCCTGCCTGCTCTGATGTGGATTATAAATGCATCAATTCTATAGGCCAGTTGGAAGGAAACTGAAATCTTAGGAACACTGAGTCTCTACTCTCATGAGCAATATATATCTTTGCATTTGGTTAGGCTAACATTTTGGTTTCATATTATAAATTTTGTAGGTATTTTGTTAAATTTGGTAACCATTACATAATCCTAAGTGTTTTGCAACTAGGATTCCTTCTGTTTGGTCTGTTTGGCTTTCTGTTCATTGCTGCTGTGTAAACATGATGATTTGCTTCTCTCCCTTTACTATGGCTCAGTAGTAAAGCTTGACATCCTATGGTCACACTTGTCTAATATTCCTCGTGTTGCATTGGCTCTTTGGCCTTTTTAAAGATTTTTTTTTACTATTTTCATGTGTCAGTGTGTGCATGGCTACATGAATATATGCACCACATGTGTTCAGGAGCCTGCAGAGGGCAGAAGAACACACCAGATCCCCTGGAACTGGAGTTACTCTCCAATGTGAGCTACCATGGGGGACCAGAACCCCACTTAGTGCTTTGCAAGAGCAGTCAGTGCTCTTAACTGCTGAGCCATCTCTCCTGGTCCTCTTTCTTCTTCTTTTCTTT